TATCAAAAAAGTACTCCAGAGTGTTGTTCAGCATGGGGGTGAGTAGAAAATGAAGGCTAATCATGTTTTGGGTGTACTATTCCTTTAATGAGGAATAAAATGAACTCTATTGATTTTAGCAAATGGCTGCAATGAAACAGAGTGAAACATTTAAAGGGGTCTGAATACTTTCTGTACCCACTGTATATGAACTAAAATGGTTCAAACCTAATTTCTGATCTTTTTGCTTATTGTGGCTTACAACGTAAAAAGAAAATTAAAAAAATGAAGAAATCTATTATATGGGAAAAAATAAAAAATATTAGACCAACGCAACACTTCTTTTAATGTAGTAACTTCTGAATAAATGTTTCCATGTAAAGTCGATGTGCTCAATAATTAGTAGAGGCTATTTTTGTATAAATTACTGCACCGGTGCTGCATGGCGTGGTGATGGCGTTTCTGGGGACGCTTCAATAGCCGCCTGCAGCTCAACTGACTTCTTTAGCTTTGCTGCATCATAAACATTAACAATAAGCTGTGGATTCTCTGCAGGGTTTGGATCAAACTAGTTTGCTCACAGTGATAAATTCCATTAATTTAAAGATGTTATCTGTACTTTTGGTAAATTTGAAAAGTGCACAAATCCTGTGGAAAATGATATCAGCATCTCTATAAAACCCGTTGGCATAAGGTGCTCTGAAACCTTTTGGTAAATTGATGAGCTAACTTTGGATTTGATTTAGAAGAAACTGGAACAGCACCAACAGATATTTGTCCTTAAAGAACATGGACTTAATACATCTTCACGTTCCATTTAAACACTGAGATTGAGTTTTAAAAATAAAAAGTTGCCTTTGTCTGGAAAAGCTTTTTTTTTTTTGATCACCGAGCAACAGTCCAAACTATTTTATACTGGTCCGACATGATGTTCTCTCTGAATGGGTTAAACTTTACAAACGGAATGTGACCGTACGTTCTTTCCCAGGTTCTGGATTTATGTGCACGCTGACAGTAAAAACATTTCCCCAGTCAATGAGATTTAACTTAACTGAGATGCAGTTATCAGAATCAGAAATACTTTAATAATCCCAGAGGGAAATTACTTTTGTTACACGCCCCAGTTACAGTTATAGAGATTGATGAGCACAGGTAGGAATGATTTCCTGTGGCATTATATTAGGTGATGATTATAAAGCATGAGCTGTAGACCATGCCTACATCCCTGATGTTCATCTATTGATCTCATTTCCTGTTCGACTTTGCTCACCACAATATTTAACTGTTTTTCTTTCAGGCGCTTTGCCCTGACAACAAAGATCCCCGACACAAAGGGTTGTCATAAATGCTGCATAGGTAAGCAGCTTTTATCTTTCAGATACATTTCTTATGGAAAACTCTTCAGGTATTTTGTTTTTATTGATAAGAATTTCCCAACAACCCACCATCATTTTAATTTTACTGCAGCATTTTCCCTCTGATTTTTTTAAAGTTGTATAAACACAATTTTTCAAACTGACGCTGTTCCTTTCAATATTGCAGTGAGAAACCCTTATACAGGCCATAAGTACCTGTGTGGGGCTCTTCAGTCCGGCATTGTCCTGTTGCAGTGGTACGAGCCCATGCAAAGGTTTATGCTCATCAAGGTCAGTTCATTATCTGTTCCCTCAGATTAAAATCATCTCTTTTATTTAATTTTTTCCAAACAAGACTCCTTTGTGTCTTTGAATACACTTTAGGCTGATTTAAATCCAGTAACATGACAGTAGTTGATAGAACTTTGTATCAAGCCCCACCCTTAAGGATTCCTCAGAATCACTATTCATCCTTTTCACTCTTTTTGTTCTTTTCTCCATTGCAGCACTTTGACTTCCCTCTTCCCAGCCCGCTCAAGGTGTTTGAAATGCTGGTGGTCCCTGAGCAGGAGTACCCTCTGGTGTGTGTCGCCATCAGTGAGGGTACAGAGCAGGGCCAGGTGGTTCGCTTTGAGACCATCAACCTCAACTCTTGTTCATCCTGGTTCACAGAGATGGGAACAAGTAAGGAAAATAGCTCCATTTTGGTCCCATCTATTTGAATATGATTTAAGGTTTAAAAAAATCAATGTGAAATTAGTCTCCACACCTAAAGATAATGAGTTTGTTCCTATCCACCCCGGCCTTCAGATAATCAGCAAGTGGATGCAATCCATGTCACTCAGCTGGAGAGAGACACAGTGTTGGTGTGTTTAGACCGTAAGTACTCGCATAACCTCTGCTCAATTTCCACGTTCATAAATAAATTTAGATGTTAAGTTTTAACCCTACTTTTTCCTAAACTTTTCATAGAAAATGTAAAGATTGTTAATCTTCAGGGCAGACTGAAGTCCAACAAGAAGCTGGCCTCTGAGCTCAGCTTCGACTTCTGCATTGGAGCTGTTGGTAAGATGTCCCACAAGTTGCCTACTTAGCATCAGAGGAAAGGATTTAAGAATGGTACCTAGAAATGGTTATCTCACTATTAATCTGCAGCTTTTAGGGTTCATTATTCATTAGAAAGCATAAAAATGCTTATGTTAGCATACGCTCCATAGAGCCAGAGAAAGTCCCAGCATCTGCGTCCCTTCTGCTAATGGTATGATTAAAAAGTTTAACCTTCAATCTGCCTTAAAATATGAGGTCAGACATGAGGTTATAACTTCCATGGATGGTCCACTTGTTTTTATTCCCAATTTTGACCTCAGAAATTCTTACCTTCGCCTCCAAGTTGAATCTAGTATCCAGCTGCTGTGGTATAAATCTGTAAAAGAATCTACAGCCATGGTTGATGGCCAGTATTTTCTATTTTTGTTATATATTGAAATTCTAATCAACATAGAAAGTGGTCCTCATGCAATAAAAAAGTAACTTTATTTAACTTTATTTGATAGTCAGATTTTTATTAATTAAATAAAATCAATGAATGTGTTTCACAGGACAGATTCTTCATCTGTTTGTATTTTTCTTTTCTAAAATATCACAAACATTTAAAAAACTATTGGTGTGAATATTTTGAGTCTTTATCTCTGTTAAATTAGCACCATTAGATTTCCCCCAAAAGTAAACCCTGGTAAATATTTTTATATAGTTTTATCCCCTTTCTTCAGAGAGTTTTTTTTTTTTTTTT